CAGGAATGGGGAGGCCTCAGCTGACTTTAGGCGATGGTTCAACTGAAAGTGGAACAATCAATCAATCTGCTGAGCTGACTTACACCCACGACAAAAAGTACACAAGCTGACATATTTATACATCTCTTAAAAATAACTGCTCAGGGAATTTCCTGGTGGTCCAGGGGTTATGACTCTGTGCTCTCACTGCCAAGAGTCCAGGTTCAACCCCTGGTCAGGGAACTGAGATCCCACACCGCAGCCAAAAAAAAATATTGCTCAAGGGTGTTTTTGCCTGTTTGACATTGACCACCATCTGCCACAACCATTCACAGACCATCCTTTCCCGTCAAGCCCCTTCACTCACCGGGTACAGAGAGGCAGGGCCAGAGGGAACACCTGAGGGGGCTTCCAGAAATTCCCTCCGGAACCCCCAAACTAACTGCTTTGTAATGCTCTGGCTGTGTCTTCCTTGTTGACCCTGTGATAGGAAAGGAGCAGTTTTCTTTCATTCATTCATTCACTCAGCAAGTACTTACTGCTTGGACTATGTACTTCCTAGTTAACAAAGGGCCCGGCAGAGGTGGGGTTACCCAGCCGAGGACCTCAGAGAACCCTAAGCCAGCCCGCTGCCTTCAGACAATGCTCTGGGCTATAGGATAAGGGATGATCACTCACCCCTCTGGGCTGCAGGTAAGACCTTGTCGAGACGTAAAGTACCATGATTTTCCAACACTAACGTCCAAAGAGGGCCTGTTGACAACCAAGCGCCAAACCCACTTTCTAGGTGGCTGGCTCACTTCATGCTGCCACCAGCACCAGGTAACGAGCACTGTCAACACCGATGATCCTCAACTAGCCTAGGAAACCGGCACAGACTTTGAGTCATTTTTTGTCTCCAGAGAGCTCTGGGGGCCTGGGGCAGGGCTGGGGGTGGGGGGGATATAAAATGGTGCAGCCACAATAACAACAGTCTGGCAGTTCCTCAGAATATTAAAGACTCATGACCCAACAATTCCACTCCTAGGTATATATCCAAAGGAAGTGAAAACAGGTCCACACAAATCTGTGTACATAAATGTTCACAGCACTATTCATAATTACTGAAAGGTGGGAATAGCCCAAATCTATCCCAGATGAATGGATAAACAAAATGTGGTCTATCCATTCGATGGAATATACTCAGCCACAAAAATGGATGAAGCACTGACTCATGCTACAGAGTGGATGAACCCTGAAAACTTGCTGAGTATGAGAAGTTAAACACACAAGGTCATAGATATTATGTGATTCCACTGATATGAAATGTCCAGAACAGGCAAATCCATAGAGATAGAAAGTAGATTAGTGGTTGCCAGGGGCTGAGGAAGGGAGCTAATGGGTGTGGGGTTTCTTTTGAAGGTGATGAAAGTGTTCTGGAACTAGACAGACGTGATATTTGTACAACTCCTGAATATACAAAAACATCACTAAACTGTATACTATAAATGAGTGAATTATATGGTATGCAAATTATCTCAATTTAAAAAAAAATTTTTTTTTTTTTTAATACCAGCAAAGTTTGTTTTTGCTGGGTAAACATTCTGGAAATGTTTTCCTGACACCAGGATTACCTGACCATGCCCATACTATCATCTTGCTATATGCAGATAAGAGCTGAAACCTCACAAACCGACCCCCAACCCTTGTCACATACCTTGCTCAGCCCAGCAGCCAGTTCTTACCCTGTGCAGCTGTGACACTGTTTGAAGGGCATACACCCCTTGGAAAGTCACCAGCCAGCTGGCCTATAAGAGGAAGCAGCTAACCAACCCAGGAGGTCTCCAAGCTATCTCCGTGTTCTAAGACGTCTCTCAGTCCTACATTCTTCTCCAGGTAGGCAGCCCTGGCCCAAAACATCACTGGCCTGATAGTTAACAGACAAAATCCCACCTGGGTTTTGGGCTCTGTCTTGCTGGGTCCCGAAAGCCCTGGACAGAGTCTCCACCCGAGAGCCCTAAGCAGTAGGGGATGGCTCAGTTTCCCCATAGGCACAGGGTGTGGTAAGGGCAATGAGCTCCAAGCACTGGTGGTTAAGGATAAATTCTAACGGTTTCTGTCAGCATTGGGAAATCACAGGAATGGCCAGAGGGCAAAGGTCACTTGGCCAGGATTATCCTCTGCCCCTGATGCTCACGGAGGACAGTTCATCCTACTTGGGCCTGGCCTTTTCAAACGAGCGACCCCTGAGATGCAACAGGAGAGCAAACAGCCATCCTGGAGGAGGCAGGGCCTGGGCAGCCCTGTGGAGATGGCCCAGTGTGCAATCCCAGAGGTACCGGTCTTCCTCCTTCTCCTCTAGGAGGTGGCCATCAGCTTTTAAAGCAGTGCTCTGTTTCAAATGTCCAAGGACGTGAATAAGGCCTATTGGGTAAGTCAGTGCCTCCGTTCCACAGATACTAGATACTACACACTCACCTGGCTTCTGGGCATGGGACGGTGGTCCTACCAGCCGGCCATGGTGGGAGCTATGTCAAAAGGCAACTCCGTCAACGTGCTGGCCAACCTAAAGCAAAGAACAGAGGAAGAAACACTGAGTTTCCAAGGAAAATTTCTGGAATGTACAGACAAGTTTTAAATGTCTCCAATCCCTGGAATTGCAAAATTCTAGATTTCAACCAGAGCTCTGTGTCTGCTACCTTCCAAGGGAGGGCAAGCTGAGGAAATCAATTTCTATCAGTCTCCGATGTATGACCCAATAAGGTGCACTAACCAATAAATACTAACATCTCAAACACTACAGATCTCATCTTTAGCAATATGGATGGAGACAAGAGGTGGTACACAACCACAAGCCAACATAGTGAACACAGAGAAAACACTTCAAGGTTTTGATGATAATGGTAATGACATTAACAGCAGAAACAGAAATACTAGCATTTAATAGATGTTTAGTAGTGAGTTCCAGGTACTATGCTACAATTCAGTATCTCTTTGAATCCCCAGGACAATCTTAGGGATAAGTTACACAATCACCCTCATTTTACACATAAGGGATCTGACATGTCTGATATTCAGGAACTTGCCCAGGGCCACCCAGGTCTCCCTTTCCAGAGGTGACCTCTCCCCTCCCCAGTGCCCACTCCCCAACATAGACCCCAAGGAAACCACCCACCATTACAGGCAGTGCAGTGTTTGCCCTCAAGAAGCTGAGGGCATGAGGCGCCCAGGGACGGACAAACTTCATCTCCCACATGGAGGCGGCTTCACCGCCATAGGGCAACTACAAGTTTCACCCAGGGATCAACTCCAAAGGTCTTACACTGCCCAGGCAGAAAGAGTCTGCCTGTTTCACAGATAGGAAAACTAAGGCTCAAGAATGTTTAGGAACTCTCCCAAGGTCCCAGAGACAGCATGGCCCCAGAACTTCCCCTCCTTTGTGACATCAGATGTCCAGGCCTCTGGGCACTGAGATTCAACCCAGTGAACCAGCCAAATCTCAGACTCCCAGGCAGTTGTCGGTTGTAGCTTGCCAAATATTGTCACTATCACCTCTGTTGTCATTCTTTGCACCCACATGACTACCAGGAGCTTGCTCTGATATGAAAACTTTATTTTTAAGCTAGGTTCACAGCAATTCACAGCTCATGGATGGCAAGAAACACTCCTACAGGAGAACTTGCAAAATAAGCAAATATCTGTGAACTCTATGCAAAGACCTTTGGGAACCAAGGAGCACACAACATCCTCCTCAGTGAGGGCCAGGGCTGCTACAGCCACCACCAGGGCTAGCTCCTAGGGAGAGGGGCCCTTTCTGCCACTCTTTTTGGCCCCATTCAGGCTGGGAAATGCAGTAGATGCCATGAATCTTAGTTCTCTCTCTCTCTCTTTTTTTTAATATTTACTTAGTAAGGCTGAGCCGGGTCTCAGTCGCAGCACATGGGATCTTCGGTGCAGCATGTTTAGCTGCAGCATGCGGGCTCTTAGTTGCGGCATGCATGTCAGATCTAATTCCCCGACCAGGGATCGAACCCAGGCCCCCTGCATTGGGAGCGCAGAGTCTTACCCACTGGACCACCAGGGAAGTTGCTATCTGAGTTCTTTTACCTCCCAAGCCAAGGCCTCTCTCTGCCATGGAGGGGGAAGCCTCAGAAAGTAGGGGTCCTGGGCTTTTCCAAGCACCCACTCTCTTCAGGATCAAGGTCAATATACAAAAGTCAGTGGTATTTCCACACAATGGCAATAAACAACCAAAACTCAGAGTTCTTAAAAAAAAAATCAATTAATACTACCATAAACGTGAAACACTTAAGGATAAATCTGATTTTTTTTTAAAATGTGCAAGACCTGTAAGCTGAAACTACAGTAAGACGTCGCTAAGAGAAATGAAAGAAAACCTAAATAAACAGAAAGATATGACTTTTCCATGGGTCAGAAGGTGTCAATTCTCCCCTAAATTGATTCATAGATTCAAAGCCCCAATCAAAAATCGCCAGCATGGGACTTCCCTGGTGGTGCAGTGGTTAAGACTCTGCCTGACAATCAATGCAGGGGACACGGGTTCGAGCCCTGGTCCGGGAAGATCCCACACGCCGCGGAGCAACTAAGCCCGTGTGCCACAACCACTGAGCCTGTGCTCTAGAGCCGCGAGCCACAACTGCTGAGCCCACGTGCCACAAATACTGAAGCCTGTGCACCTAGAGCCCGTGCTCCACAACAAGAGAAGCCACCACAATGAGAAGCCTGCGCACCACATCAAAGAGTAGCCCCCGCTCGCCACAACTAGAGAAAGCCCATGCGCAGCAACGATGACCCAACGCAGCCAAAAATTAAATAAATAAATAAATAAATTTATTAAGAAAAAAAACTGCCGGCATGTTTTGCCGAAAAAAACAAGCTGATTCCAAAATTTATATGGAAATGCAAAGGACTTAGACTAGTGAAATACTGAAAAAGAGAAACAAATTTGGAAGACTTACCTAACCTGATTTCAAGACATACTGTATGTAAAGTTACAGTAGCCAAGGGAGTATGATATGAACGTTAAGACACACAAGTAGACAGATGGAACAGAATATACCCATGCACATGTGGACAAATGATTTTCAACAAAGATCCAAGTACCCTAACTCCGTGAGACCACAAGACACACTGGACATTTTCCTGAAGGGTTAACCTGCGAGGAAGGTGACCTTAATCTGTTATCATAATGCATACAGTGCATCATGGGGCAGTATGCAACATACAAGAAGTTTTAAGGTCACCTCAGACTTTCACCCTCCACCACAGCTTTCCCCACCTCAGCTCATGGTAAATTCAGTCTTTCAAGATGCTCAGATTAAAATCTGGAGTTGCCTTTTTTTTTTTTCTATTTTGTGTGTGCCATGAGGCATGCGGGATCTTAGTTCCCCGATCAGGGATCAAACCTGTGCCCCCTGCATTGGGAGCGAGAAGTCTTAACCACTGGACCGCCGGAAAGTCCCTTTGTCCTTTTGGCTGCAGATGCCTTCTTGATAGGACTACCCATCATCCAGTCTGCCAGGAAATCCTACTGATTTTGCCGTCAAACACATCTGGGGTCCCACCACTTCTCACACCTCCACTTGCCACACTATCCTCCCTTAATACGACGGAGGCCCGCAAACTGGACCCCCTGCTTTCATTCCTCAGCTCGAAACCTTCCAAAGGCCCTGCAGTCACTCAGAGTGAAGCCCTATCCTCTCTTGACATGTCCACCCTCCTCCAGCCATGCTGGCCTCCAACACACCAGGCACCCTCCCACCTTGGGGTTCTTCTTCAAGGTTTTCAACAAAATCCCCGATACTTTGTAATTTTAACAATCGATTCTTCAATTTGCATCCCAAGTTGAAAATGACCTTTGAAAACATAACTACCATACAATAATCTCTAAATGTCAACAAATGCCCAGTCCATATTCAGCTTCACACAATTTCCCAAAAACGTCTGTACACAGCCTGTTCTAACAGTAGTTGCTAGCTTTTGTGCTAGCATTTGTGCTAGCTGCTCTCTGCCTCCATCACTCTCCCGCACCATGGCTGTCTCCTCCGTGTACCCCCAAGTCACTGCTCAAATGTCTCCCTCAAAGGGGCCCACCCTGCTCACCCTGCCCTTTCTCTCCCACAGCCCTGGCCCCTCCTCAAACTCCACACAACACAGCTATTGTATCTATGGACTTTCTCACCCGGCAAGAACATAAATGACACAAGGAAAGGGGTGTCTGCCTGGTGCCCGATATCATTTCAAGCACCTCCAACAGTGTCCGGTGCTCAATAAATATTTATAGAATGAATGAGCAGAGATGGTTTAACACTGAGGGAGAAAGAACCAATCTGAGGAGTTCACACACCAACAACCCCTTGATACAATTAGAGCAAAATTCACGAAGGAGCAGAAACCAAGCAGAGACCACTTAGCACCATCAGGATTGGGAGCATTTCTCTAAAATAAACTGTAATCACTTTCCACTGGTGTATCATTTGGGCTGCTGTGCCATCTACCCCACACTGGCTGGGTTTAGAGAGCTTTTACTGTTTTTATTTCCAACCCATATATTTAAAACAGTATCAAGTAACCCTTAAGTACACAATTACCAACTCATAAGAGACTCTTCCACTCCCTTGATAAATCATTATGGTTTGGCTTTGACCCTGCACCTGGGTACTCCACTTACATGCATACACACACAACACCCCGAATCTTCGACCTACCCAAACAACAATTTCCCAACCTGAGGGAGATCACACTTGGTAAGGAGGCAGTGATTGGTGATTTACATGAAATCAAGTCACTGCACTTTGAGCAACAAAAGTCCACTGTTGCCACTTCACCCTCTCCAGCTCAGGCAAGAGAGGTCCGCTCCCTTTTAACTTGAGGAGAGGAGCCCCCGGCCAGACACTGGCTGCTGTCTAGGGAGCTCCAGTTCCTTAGAGACGCTCCAGCTGCAATGCCCATGGCCAGCCCAGGGACAGCTCTCAGAGGCCATGGGCACCTGATGGGGAAGCCTGGGCTCTCCAAGGTGCCCCCCAGAGGGCCCCATTATCCCTTCCGAGGCCTGGCCCTATGGAAGCTGCACACCTCTGATCTCCTCCTACCACCGTCTGCACTCACCAAACACTTGCCCAGTGTTTTACCACTCTGGCTCTAATCCAATCCCGGGAACATATTAAGCCAAAAAACCTCCAAGATGAAACCCAGCAATAATACTATTCACCTTCTCCTACCCCTAGGTCCACAAAGTCCACTTGTTCCACACAAAATGAGCACCCCACCCAGACCCTCTCTGCCAACAGTCTTAGCAACTGTACTGCTAACTGTCAAGGAGAGGAAGTCCCCAGCTAGCTCTATGAGAAAGGGAGAAACTGAGGCAGGGCAACAGTGGATCATCTCAAGGAAGCCCAGAGGTCACACTGCTCCAACATGCGCTGGCTGGTTAGGGAAAGATTAACTTGGGTCAGAGTCAATTCCCTAATCCAAGGGTCGGCAAACTACTGCCTGGGCCTGTTCTGGCGAATGGCTTTCCTGGGACACAGCCACGCCCACTCAAGT